TTAATCCCAAATTTCTCCGTTTTCCTTCGGTAAAATTTTTTAAAACTTTGCACATTTTTTAGTACCGGCACAGCAAGTGCAATATCCTTTTTTAAAAAAATTAAATCGAAGGGAAAATTTTAATATTGATTTTTGACGCTTTTAAATTTTCTAAGAAACGTATCGATTTAATTTTTTTAAATTGAGGGGAAAAAATCATTATACAAGTATGACCTTTTATGCAAAGTTTTAAAAAATTTCACCGAAGGGAATTTTTAAAATGACCTGAAAAAGACAAATTTTGGGCTTTATTGTAAGCATGTTGTTGCCATGACAACATATTTTTAACACAAAAGTTACAATTTGTAATGTTCAGGAGAACATTGTCAATGTGTCCAATAAATTTCGTTTTCATGTCATGTAAAGTGAAGAAACAGGAGTCTCCTGAATACTATAGTGTAGTAAATTAAAAAACCCTAGGGAGCCACCTTAAACAAAATATTGGCGCCAAAAGGAAGACGTCATTTTCCCGCCAAAATTTAAAAATTCGAAAAAGTGAAACGAGAGCATTTCTTAGAATGAAAAGATCTGTCAAAGTAAAAACTTATACTTTGACAGATCTTTTCATTCTAAGAAATGCTCTCGTTTCACTTTTTCGAATTTTTAAATTTTGGCGGGAAAATGACGTCGTCCTTTTGGCGCCAATATTTTGTTTAAGTGTTAAGACTTCCTTAGTTAATTTTTCAAAAGTTATATGTTGTGTAAACTTCAAAACCGAAAATATAATCGAATTATCTTTATTCGATGAAGAGTTATAACGGATGGAACGTTCAGATTTCGGCCATTTTGTTACTAAAAATAGCCCAAAATAGCCCAAATCTGAAAATTCCATCCTTTATAACTCTTGATTGAATTAAGATAATTCAATTATTGTTTCGGTTTAGAAGATAATATAACCTCTTATTTTAGAAAAATTAACAAAGAAAGTCTTAACACTTAAACAAAATATTGGCGCCAAAACGATGACGTCATTTTCCCGCCAAAATTTGAGAAATTCGAAAAAGCGAAACGAGTCTGTCTGTCAAAGTATAAAATATAAGATCAATTCGTCAAAGCACACAAAATTACACTTAAGTGAGCGTTTTCGAGGCAATAAATCCACACCGTAAACTCGCAGACTCGCAACTCGCAGACTCGCAACTCGCAGACTCGCAACTCGCAGACTCGCAACTCGCAGACTCGCAACTCGCAGACTCGCAACTCGCAGACTCGCAACTCGCAGACTCGCAACTCGCAGACTCGCAACTCGCAGACTCGCAGACTCGCAACTCGCAAACTCGCAGACTCGCAACTCGCATATTAGACAAACTCGTTTGCTTTTAATATACTGTAATTACTTTAAATTAAAAGCCGATCGTTGCCTATATAAAATATGAAACAAGACAGCGTATTATTTCAGTGTTTCTTTATTAATACACTTTTTATTATACTAAGCAAAGTTATTTGCATGGGAGAATTTGGAATCATTTTATTTCGAACTCAAAGTTTATCGATAAAGGCAGTTTTATAGTTCTATATTAAAAGAACACTTTAAAACGTTTTGCGAAGCGTTTGTGGTTGAATTTTACCTTAAATTGAAGCTTATATTACGTATAATAACATACCTAACATATATATGTTTGGGAAATTGATAATTTTGTAATTAAAAGTGATATTTTTAGGGGATTTTTCATTTGTAAAATTATTCTTAAAAAATTATCGTGTTACCATGACAACTACTTTAAATCAGGAAGGCGAGGGTTTCTGCATGCATGTAATTTCTAGTACTTGTAATATACTGGTCGCTATCTTGCGCTTTTCAGCTTGTGGTGGTGGTGGTGGTGGTGGTGGTGATCGTCGTCGTCGTTACCAATTTCTCATTTGTAATACAAAATGATTGAAAAACGGCAAACTTTGCAAGGCTATATTATCCGCATATTATCCGCATGCTCTTTCAAGCTGTGTCCAGGCATATCTAGATCAAAATTTCACTCATAAGGGGAAAGGTCTATTGGGGCCTCGTATTTTAGAAAACGGGAATGAACGCGGGAGAATAAGCGAAAGCTGCTTGACAAGCCAAATTCAGACGCCATTGTGAATGTTTGCGAAACATTGTTGTCGCAAAATGCATATTTAAAGAAAAAAATGGTGAACATTTGACTGTGTCTAAATTTTTCTCCTTGTCAAATTTTGCCGACAAGCACGCTCTTGCCAGTGTACTTTTGCATCACACATCGATGAGCGCATTATGAATACACTTCGAGCGCCCTACAATAAACCAGTAAATTAGCCCACCATGCCTTGAGAAAAATGTTGGCCACTCTTTATTGGGAATTCTACGCAAGTACTAATAGTAACTTTACTACAGTACAGTATGTACAATCCGGGCCAAAGCGTTGCATTATGGACAACCTACTCACATTGACCGCGAATGGCGTTTTTGTCAATAAATATACCCCGCTCTCCCCCAAGTCGGCTATTAGTAAAACACGGAGCACACGGAGCACGGAGCACACGGAGTACGGAGCACACGGAGCACGGAGCACACGAAGTACGGAGCAGTAGAAAAACGAAAATCCTTTATAATAAAATACACTGTTTACTATTACAAATTTTTGTTATTATTAACAAAGTTTTTTCGCGTATTACACGTTGGGGAAGTAGGAAAATGGGGCTTTTACTGAAAAACACATATGATGCAAAACTGCCAAAAGTCATAGTATTTAAAATAGGATTGTGAAACTCGTTATCTTACATCTATCAAGCTTATGTAGTTATATTATATTCGGATATTCCGTTGGCCAACGCATAAAGAAACACTTACTGTAGAGAACAGCCTATATATTTCGTTACCCCTGCCAAAAAATAGCCAAGTACTCATCTTTCAATGTAGCCGGGATCGACTGAACATAAAAGCTTGTGATGGAGAGAAGTGAATTTTCGGTTTATCCTTCGGCCCAGTGTGCTGTACGTGTTTCCTGACTGCCGGGCACGTAGTATTTTAAAAATACTGCCCGGCAGCCGCATGTAGACCAGTATTTCGATTCCGATGGAATTATAAAGTTTGATAGTTTAGTCTTTAGATACATGTGATGGATATTTTGACTATAGCCTAAACTAGATAGAGTACACACAATATGCGTTACAATAATGCGTACAGCCGTTTACTTTTGGTCCAGTAAGCTAACAAATCGTACAGCCGTTAACTGTCTTTTGAAGTCGAGTACGTGTAAAAAGCATACATTCCCAAATACTTGGTCGAGTACGCACGCATATCGAAATGCACTATTATTCGAGCTATTATTTAGGCCTTCCCGATTGCGCTGGTAAAATCCAAACAAAGTTCTGGCAAAAAGGGCTAAAAAGTGCTCAAAAAGTGCTCAAAATCCCAAAATAGTGCTCAAAAAGTGGTAAAATTGTGAACAGTTTATACCTCTATAAAGATTTTCGTAATTTTTTTAAAATCAGCATTTTTTAAAATCAGCATTTTTTAAAAATCTGTTTCCACGTCTTTCTCCATATATGGAACAAACTTCCGTATATGGAGTTGTTTACGACAAAAAAAAAGAGAACGCGAAAAAGTCAGCGTTCTAATTTTTTAACCGAATGTCATATGCAGCTGTACGGCTTTTCTTGTAGAGTTTACCTAAATTATATATAGAATAATAGTATAATACACGTCAATTTTTAAACCTTACACCGAATTGTATGTTTAGTTAAGGGGTGGGGGGTGAATAGGTTTTCGGATCGTCTACAGTATAATATTGTGAATGATTCCGAATATTCAAAATGGATTGAAAGAATGTGAATTCAAAGCAGTATTAAATTATGTACTGTATAACGGTTTAAACGTAGGCCGTACAGCACACTGTCACTGCCACTGAGCCGAAGGATAAATCGAAAATTCACTTCTCTCCATCACAAGCTTTAATGTTCAGTCGATCTGCTACATTGAAAGATGAGTACTTGGCTATTTTTTGGCAGGGGTAACGAAATATATCAGCTGTTCTCTACAGTATAAAGTGTTTCTTTATGCGTTGGCAATCGGAATATAATATAACTACATAAGCTTGATAGATGTAAGATAACGAGTTTCACAATCCTATTTAAATACTATGGCTTTAATAATGGCATTTGGCAGTTTTGCATCATATGCATGTTTTCAGTAAAAGCCCCATTTTCCTACTTCCCCAACGTGTAATACGCGATAAAACTTTGTTAATAATAACAAAAATTTGTAATAGTAAACAGTGTATTTTATTATAAAGGATTTTCGTTTTTGACTCACGGATGTTGCGAAGCAACATCTGTGAGTCTTTGTGGTTTACTTGAGTGGGGCAGTTAAACAATGGGAAATGACCAGCCTGCTTTGCGCGCAGTGTTTGCCTGCGAACGGGTCTTTTGGAACCGGAAATTGGGCTGGAGCACGCTTCACGTTCTTTTCAACTTTTGACTTTTTGACAAGCGTGTGCTAAATTAAAAGGTGAGTGTTAGTTGACTTAATTGTTATCTGTTTTTCTACTTCACCCAACAGATCTGCTGTTAACACACTGATCTACCTTTTAGCTGAAATATTAACACTATTTTGTTCAATATATATACAAGTGTTCACATTTTCTGGTGCCTTTCGAGCGCCTCTGTCAGCTGTGTTTCAACACCGTTTCAACACTGTTTCCATAGTTTCTGTCGATTGAAAGAGTTTTTTGTTTACCAAATTTAATCATGTTATTTAAATTAAATAATTCATGTTTTAGCTGTCACGGAATACAAAGGACATATTTGTCTTATTCGAAGCAACACGACACAAAATCTTTGTATTAAAGTTACGTTGCCGTTGCCGTTGTATATTTCACATGACTGCGCTTGCACTGTAGCCTAGTATCAGCTGGCACGGACGAGTCTCAGCAGTGTATCGATAGATCGCTTCATTTTTATCCTCTATCAGGAGAATTTCAGCTGTCCTTATGCTCTTTGATGAATGTCCCACTTATATTTAGACGCAATGAAACAACATCAAAACCACTAGTTAATCCAACGAAACTCTGTCGGATTACAGGGGATGGCAATTGTTTATTTAGAGCACTGTCATATATTTTAACCGGTAGACAAACATACCACATGATTTTAGACAAAAATAGTGGATCACATGAACAGTATAGAACATGTCCTTAGACCATATATGAATAGTTCAGTAGATCATTATTTAGCCACAAGCAACATGAGGAACAGTGGTGTGTGGGGGACTGATATTGAATTTTTTGCAGCCATTCCCTTTTCAATGTAGATATTTATGTTTATTCACAGTTTGGTAACAATTATAAATGGTCTAAAAAGAAAAAGAATATTGGACACTGAGGCAGCATTACCACCTGGATTTACTTACACTGTACTGCCATTGGACAGCTACCTGTACCGTTGTATCAATAAGGGTGCTGTTTTATAGTTGTTCTGTTTAAATTTTTCTGTTCAACACTGTACACTGTACATCGTACAGCTACGGTCATTGATGCAGCATGTACTGTATTGGTTACAGCTTTATACTTATAGCTATCATGTTTAAATTGTCCTGTTCAACACTGTAGATCGGACAGCTACGGTCATTTGATATATTACATTGGGGACAGCTTTATACTTATTATAGTTATCATGTTTAAATTGTCAGTCTGTTTAACACTGTACATATCGGAAAGCCACGGTCATTGGATGTACTGATACTGACTGTATTAGGTACCTACAGCTTTATACTTATAGTTATTCTGTTGAACACTATACACACCTGACAGCTACGGTTATTGTACTTTTATATAGATTTGCTTTGATAGTGTGTAGTTTTATAATAATCTATTCAGATTGTTTTTTCAAGACTGTTGATATTGGTTAGGGACCGGTCATTATTTATGGAAGGGGGGAGGGGAATTTTTTTCTTTTCTAAATTTTTAAAATTGAAA